CTCTGAGCTCTTGCTTTTATGATTAGCTGACTATCTGAAAATTTACATTACCATTGGTGCAATTTGTGACTCTGCAAAAACACAGAACTTTAAGGTACAAAGTATAACACTGGCCTTTTTATTTAAAGCTTTTCATGCAGACGCAATGGGTGGTGATAGAGCGCACACCCTCTGCAAGCCTGTGCACAACACTAAACGAGTGGTATGGCTAAGATGGCAGAGCCTCACTCCGGAGGCCCTATAAACTCCAGAACAGGGGAGAAGAAGCCTCCCGAACAAGGAGAAACTTAGAGTACTGCACCCGGGGCACGACAACCCTGTGGGCCAGCACAGGCTGGGAAAGTAGGGTTGATGTAGATGTCCTCCCAAAAGGGCAACAGGGGGCACCAGGCTTGATACAAGCCAGTGGTGCCCTTGCTCTGTAAATATGGCAAAATTGATACCAGGACTCACTAAAAATGGGGTCAGTGCAAAGAAAAGGAAAAAAAAAAAAAGTTAACCTCCTCTACTCGAGCAGGTGAAGCTTCACTGGAATAGGATGTCCAGCTCTGGGCCTCCCAGTTCAAGAGAGATGGGGAGAAACCAGAGAGGTTCAAGCAGGTGGTTTGCAGGATGGTCGGGGATCTTGGGCACAGGTCTGCGAGGAGAGGTTGAGGGAGCTGGACTGGTTTCATCCAGCATGCTGGAAGGCAGTGATGGAGATGATGGAGCCAAGTGCTGCCCAGTAGTTCCCAACACTATAACAGGGAGTAATGGCTCTTGGTTCAGGTTCAATATTGGGAAAAACTTCTTCACTAGAAGGGCAATGCAGCACTGGAAGGGGTTACCCAGAGAAGATTTGTGACATCCTCTCACAGAGGTTTCCAAGACATAGCCAGACAAAGTCATGGCTGATCTGATCTAGTGTTGGAGAAGGAAACTGGCTCAAGAGGTCCCTTTCCACTGCTCCGTGACTTTCAGCAAATGCAAGTTTGTCTATTTTTTTCTCCTCCAAGACAAAAAGCCACCTCTTAGTGCTGCTGATGTTATGGCACTGGTTGTCAATAGCTCTATTGCAAGCACAGCGCAAGACTGAGGAAATGCACTAGCTGTCTAAAAATTACTAGGCAGCAGCAACTATGATTTATCACACAAGGCTACGATATTTAAATTCAGAACTAATGAAGCAGTACCTTTGTCTTCAACTCATTTATCACTAAGTACTTGGAAAAGATAATTTTCTAATCTTCAAAGGAATAAGTGCACATACACAGTAGGCAGAGGTGAAAAGTGTGTAGAGACTCTCATATGTGTGGATGGGGAAGAAGTTTGACCTGCCAGGGCTAGGGAGACAGCACTCACTATGCCATGCTCAGTCAGTGGTAGAGTCCCAGCACACTCAGGCAGGCAGAGACTTCCACTTACAGAAAGAAATCAGTGTAATTTTCTTAATGAAGTAAACAGAAGCCAGTTTATGAAAATAGCTGTAATAATGGGGAGTGGTGGGACCCACTATGTACAACTGGTCTACAGACTCAGTCTGCTCACATCATACATGGCAGCAAATGCAGAGCACAGAATCTGAAAGTTAAATTGGACTACTTTCTTCCCATTTATTGCCACCAGTGCCACTTCTTTGTTGGTCAAAAGTGATTTTATATATAATTCCATTCGTCTAAATTTTGCTTGTTATATATGTAAATGGGCGCAGCCTGTCCAAGCATACTTGAAATTTCTGAAAAAAAGAGAAAGAAGGAAGAGAGCCCAGCTGTGTTGGTTTTACAGGACTATTACAATAGTCAAATCTTCTAGCACAAAAAGAGCAGACCTTTTGAGCAAGAAGGTGTCACTTTCAATTCTTTTTTCAATGCTTTTCAAGATGAACTTACATTTAAATAATACACTTAAATTCTGTCTTTGATCTGCAGCTAAGATTACAGTTCTTTCTAAATAAGAATTTTATATACAGGCTTCTCTATGAAATTTACTGTTAAGTCTGGAGAATCTCCACTTGGTTACATTTTTATACCAGGACAAAAGCAATGAAAAGCCTCGTGCAGCTTGAGAAGGTGCACAACAATTCTGTTGATGAATAAAACTGAAAAGCATTTGACATTTTAAAAACAACAACAAAAGCCTTCCTAAGTCAATACACAAGTTCAAAATTTCAGACTGCACAACAGAAGGGGTTTCTTCTCTCTTGATGTCATTCTTAATACACAGAAAAATGGTAGGAACCTGAACGTGAACCCCTCACATATCCAGGTCTCCTCCCAGGAACTCAGTTGTACTGTAAAGTCAAAGAAGCATTGTCCTGGGGAGGGGGGGGCAGGATCAAGTGCTAACTAAAAACACCCAAAATAATGCCTTTAAAAATTACACTTTCAGTTCTGCTCTCTTCTGTGAATTGAACAAAAACGGATACAATTAACCACAGTCTCTAAAGAGCAGCTGTATTTAACCTTAATTTTTCTGGACAAGGCTGTTTCAGAACACCCAGGTAAGAATATTCACAAAAAGCATTTATCCAGTCAAGCTTCTGCAGCTGGGCCAAACCCTGCAGGTCTTCACAACACAGGAGAGGGCTGGCTGCTCTCGAGGGCATTTTTATCAATGGCAGATTACTCCACCAACATCCTACAATTAGCATTTGTTCAAGAGTGAGTGTGATCCCCAAGCTGTATTTTGTAGACTCACACAGCAATTGAAAGACCGTAAAGCATAAAAGCAGTTTGAACAAAAGGGAAGGAAAAAAAAAAACAAAAACAACCCACAACAACAACAAAAACCAAACAAAAAACCAAGACAAACCACGCAGGGTTTGTTCCCCAAACTCTTTTCCTGTTTTTCCATGTGAGAATGATCA